CATTGTACAAATCACTGTTTGCACTAACGAGAACCAATATTTAACAATTATTCGAAAATTTCACTTTCCGCATAGTATTAAATGACCGTTTAATTCTTTCTAGTCTTCGGTTCGTCTAATAAAACACAAAAGTCAGACTATCACCACCATCGTACAGCAATATATATGTTCAGAAATTTAACTATTCTGATATAGAGAAGAATACAGTATGCAATTTAATCACACTACACATAGTTAGTTACAAGGATTATTCTCACACAGATATTTCACATTCAAAATATCATTTATGTTCATCAAACGCAAATTAACATTAATTCGAAACACTGTCTCAAGTCTACTGAAGCCTCACTCAAAACTACACATTGAAGCCTTCAACGTACGCATCTCCTCAATCAGTCAATCAATCAATCAATCAATCAATCAATCAATGAAGATGTCATTATGATTGACTTGTAGAATTGTGCACAAATCTAATTCATTTATTCAGTATTTCAATCACCACCATTTTCCAGTCACCTCATCACCGGAATACTTCTTTGAAGTATTTAATTTGTCAAGACATACACACACATACATACAGATGAATGGCAAGAAGAAACAAAACTATAGAAATGGAACGAACTAACCTCATTCATAAATGCTCTCTCTCTTTTCCACACACACACACACACACACATGCACACACACTACAATTATCTGGTCGTCAATAAACTGAGGTTACGGTTTATTCAAATCCACATGCACCGTTTATTTCCATTTTCATAGTTTCATTACATTGTAAATCGTATTACAACTATGTTGGAACTGTGAAGAGATACTTGACTTTGTAATGAAGTAGCAAAATAAGAGATATGTAAAGAGAGATAGAGAGAGAGGGTGAGAGGTAATTAACTTAAGTCAATTGAAACTTGAAAGGAGAATTACAAACTTCATTGATTAGTCAATGATGATTTGTTTTGATGTAGGTCACAGTGAGTGTAGATTACTGGCTGATTGTCTTTACTCCCTTCACTTAATCTACATTTCTATTTGAAAATGAATGTGTTCGATTACTATTTAAGTAGTATATAGTTTAATTGATTCGGTTTAATCATTTTTGATTGTTGTGCATCTGCTATGATAGTGTTTATTGTTAATGTACAATGGTTGTTGTGATTTGAATTGGGGAATGGAAATCATCATGAATGACAAAGAAGAAGAAGAAGAAGCGAATAGATGGGTTTGGAAAATCAAGAAAGTGAATCCGTTTTGTATTGTATATTTGAATCTTTTGCATTGATGTTTGAGACTGCAATTTAATCAGTTTTTAATTGACATACGTGCGTCCTTTGCGGATTACTTTGATGTTGTCACCAATTTGTATACATTATAAACACAAATGAATGGCGATAAAATGTGGAATCCACGATGTGCTTTTCTTCTTTTTTGAAGATCTGTTAGCACATTGTTTATGTTACGGTTTTTACCTTACCTTTAAAATGATTGAACTCTACCGGCCGCAACAGATATGTTGGAGCTCTGATTATTTATCCTCAAGTTAATTATCAGCCATTACATAATGACTTCATTCGGAAGTTAACAGATCTTAAATTAGAATGGAGTAAATGATAAGAGTTCGTATTGTACTTCCAGGGATTCATTAATTACAGTTGATTCAAGCAAATATCGTTTCTATTTTTCTTACTAGCTAATTAATTTTGTGGATATTGTAATCCATATGTGTTCTTTCTTCAGTCAACAACTAGTATTCTCTGCTAGTCATTATGTTATACACCTTATCATTACGCAATCACAAGGAGATAAAGTGAAATGTATACCATGAAATTTAGATTACATAATATGATGATGAGAATTTTTCGTTGATTTCAATTAAAATGTTCATAGTTTGTGTCATTATTTTCGGGGGCGGGGTAGTTATTACGTATCTACTTGTTTCTATTAGCACTTTATTATACAGGAAATAATTTGTACATAGATAGATAGATAGATAGATAGATAGATAGATAGATAGATAGATAGATAGATAGATAGATAGATAGATAGATAGATAGATAGATAGATAGATAGATAGATAGATAGATAGATGTGTGGATAGATAGATAGATAGATAGATAGATGTGTGGATAGATAGATAGATAGATAGATAGATAGATAGATAGATAGATAGATAGATAGATAGATAGATAGATAGATAGATAGATAGATAGATAGATAGATAGATAGATAGATAGATAGATAGATAGATAGATAGATAGATAGATAGATAGATAGATAGATAGATAGATAGATAGATAGATAGATAGATAGATAGATAGATAGATAGATAGATAGATAGATAGATAGATAGATAGATAGATAGATAGATAGATAGATAGATAGATAGATAGATAGATAGATAGATAGATAGATAGATAGATAGATAGATAGATAGATAGATAGATAGATAGATAGATAGATAGATAGATAGATAGATAGATAGATAGATAGATAGATAGATAGATAGATAGATAGATAGATAGATAGATAGATAGATAGATAGATAGATAGATAGATAGATAGATAGATAGATAGATAGATAGATAGATAGATAGATAGATAGATAGATAGATAGATAGATAGATAGATAGATAGATAGATAGATAGATAGATAGATAGATAGATAGATAGATAGATAGATAGATAGATAGATAGATAGATAGATAGATAGATAGATAGATAGATAGATAGATAGATAGATAGATAGATAGATAGATAGATAGATAGATAGATAGATAGATAGATAGATAGATAGATAGATAGATAGATAGATAGATAGATAGATAGATAGATAGATAGATAGATAGATAGATAGATAGATAGATAGATTTGTGGATAGATAGATAGATAGATAGATAGATAGATAGATAGATAGATAGATAGATAGATAGATAGATAGATAGATAGATAGATAGATAGATAGATAGATAGATAGATAGATAGATAGATAGATAGATAGATAGATTTGTGGATAGATAGATAGATAGATAGATAGATAGATAGATAGATAGATAGATAGATAGATAGATAGATAGATAGATAGATAGATAGATAGATAGATAGATAGATAGATAGATAGATAGATAGATAGATAGATAGATAGATAGATAGATAGATAGATAGATAGATAGATAGATAGATAGATAGATAGATAGATAGATAGATAGATAGATAGATAGATAGATAGATAGATAGATAGATAGATAGATAGATAGATAGATAGATAGATAGATAGATAGATAGATAGATAGTTTAATATTACTGTTACTTATTGTATCTTCCAATTTTCAATGAAAACCAATAATGTATATTCAAGGTTCTACAAGACAAGTCGAATTATTTCGCATGCTTCATTTAAGGACACATGAACCACAAAGACGTATAAATAAAAGGTCAGAAGTGGGGAGAACGGGAAATAATGACTGACGATGTTGATGTAGATCGTATAAAACGTAAATATCTTTATTAAATCATTCTATGGAATTTGAATAATATAGTAATGTGATCATTCTAGTATGTTTACATTTCAATAACTTGACCTGAAAACAAAAAGAGATTAGATTATTCTTTGAAGATCATTTATATTAGTAAATATAGGTCATGATGTAATCATTCAGCTAATATGTATATAAATGTATATAAGTAATATGCTTCAATATGTATGTGAATGTATAAAATAAGTATTAAATAATAGAAAATGAATTGAATTATGGTTAGTAATGTTAGTTTATGGTGAAAGAATAATTCAATATTCTTATTTTAATTTCGTGGATTAGTTGAAGTTAGACATTAACACCGTTGGATACTGACCGGTTCAGTGGTCTAGCGATTAAGTGCTCCCGTGCGAAACCAGTATGTCCTGGGTTCGAATCTCGCGGGGGACGAGGTCGTGGATGCGCACTGCTGAGGAGTCCCACAATAGGACGAAACGGCCGTCCAGTGCATCCAGGTTTTGCATGGTGGTATAGCTTCAACTGACTCATGATCTTAACCATTGAAATTAATTTTAATAGTTGAGATCATGAATCAATTGAAGTCAGACCACCATGGAAAATTTGAAAGCAGCGGACGGCCTTTTCGTCCTATTTTAAAATTCCACAGCAGTGCCCATTCATTTTATCTTAAGCTAAAACTATACTTCATTATGTCAAAATGATTCACTTTTATTAATTAATTAATGTTTTAAGCATCTTGAGAAGAAACTGTTATATACATTCATGTTACAAAGGGATAAATATGTAATTCAGTTATTTTGCAATATTTTCAGAAAGGGGTTTTGTGGAGATTTTAGTAATTTCTTAGTTGAATTCATTAGTTAATTAAAGCTAAACAATCATGGAAAACCAGGAAGCATTGGACGGCCTTTAATCGACTCATAAAATCAATTATTAAATTATTACAATTTCCACAAACCACCATTCTGATCATAATCATTATATGCTCACTAGTGACTGGCTTCAAGATGTATATCCTGGAGTTCTAGTGAGAAGCCGTGGCCAATGGAGTTCAACCGTGTCTGTTGTGAGATAGTAACTCATTGAAGACAATGATGAACAATGGCACAATTTCGTGAATTAATTGAAGTTAGACATTAACTATTAGATGTCAACTCAGTGATCTGAAGGTTGAGCGTTCGCGCGCTACACCGATATGTTCTGTGTTCTAATCCCTCAAGCGGGATCGTGGATGCGCACTATTGTTGACTCCCATACTAAGACGAAATGACCGCCCAGTGCTTCCAGGTTTTCCATACTGGTCTAGCTTTAATTAACTCATGATCTAAACTAATAAATTTACTATAATATCCACAAAACTCCTTCTAATACTAATATCAACTTGTTAACAGAATTGAAGAAAATTAACACAACCGTTTCGAAAATGTATATCAAGATGTTGATTTTCTTCGCTTTAAAATAGAAAAAATCCTCTATTTATAATTATTAAATTACAATGGAGTTACCAACCTTAACCCGAGGTTTGGTTCGTTTATTTTTTTCATTCGATTCAACATTGAACCCAGCATTTCCTTGATTCAATTTCAACAGTTCAGGATCTTTGCAAAAGAAGAAAGAGAAACAATCGTAAAGAAATTTAGGGACTTAGCTAGATAATGCATATATATATATATATGTAGATTTTGTTCAATAATAAATAATGTGATTGAGGGTATAACATTTAAAAAGATGACTCTATAAAGAAAACTGATTTGTAAAATAAGAATCTTAATAGTTAAGATCATGAACCAATTGAAGCTAAACCACCATGAAAAACCTGAAAGCACCGAACGGTCATTTTGTCCCAGTCTGGGACTCCTCAACAGTTCGCATACACGATTTAGCCTCGCAAGATTAGAACCCAGGACTTATCAGTCACACGCGCGAGCGCCTAACCTCTAAACCACTGAGTCAGCATCTAACGATGTTAATGTCTAACTTCAACCAATCCACGAAATTGCGCCACTGTTCATTAAGTCATCAATGAGTTACTATCTCACAACAGACCTGGTTGAACTACACTGTTTACTGCTTCTCACTAGAACTCCAGGAAATACCTATGACGAGTTCCACAGTAGAATGAAACAGCCGTCCAGGGCTTTCATATTGTCCATGATGGTCTAGCTTCAATTGAATCATGATCTCAGCTATTAAAATTACTATAATATCCACAAAAACCCCTTCTGATATTAAAATAAGAATTGATCAAAATCAGTTGTTGAGGAATTCAATGAAGTATTGGAGATTATAAACCAGAATTTTTGTGGATTTTTTCAAATCAACCTTCGGTAATGATTACAGTTAGTTGTTTACGAAGTTTTCTTGAATTTGTCTTGAACTTATTGTAGAAAAATATTGTAAATAAATAGAAATAGATGATGATTAGCAGTAGAATCCATGACATGCATTTCATCCTATTCGGGATTCATCAATTGGATGTAAATACAACGCACATTTGATGTTTATTTAGGGACTCCAACTTTAATTGATATGTCGATTAAAACTAAACTACAATGCAAAACCTGGGAGCATCAAACAATTCAAGTCCCACGTGCCAGATCATGAATACACACTACTGAGGAGCTCTATACTAGGACGGAACGACTGCCCAGTGATTTCAGTTTTTCCAAATGACTTTGACAAGATATTCTCATAACAGACCATCCATTCACTGTAGAATTTGAAGGAAAATAGTTGGGCATATCGAAAGATGAATAATATTATTAATAGTAAATAAAGTTCACTGAAGGATTCTTAAATACGTTTAAACAATCCTCCTTAAAGAATGCAACACCTTCAAAATATTCCTCATAAGCTACATATACCTATTTTTTTCATTGTCAGAAAATATGATGATTATACTCACTAGTGACTGGCTTCAAGAAGTAGTTTCTACAGTTCTAGTGAGAACGCGTGATCAGCGGAGTTCAACCAGTGCTGTTGTGACATAGTAACTCACTAAAGACAATGGTGGACAGTGGTGCAATTTCGTGGATTGGTTGAAGTTAGACATTAAAACCCTTGTATCCCTCTTAGTGGTCTCGTGGTTAAATGTTTCCGTGTGAGAATGAAGTTCCTGAGTTCTAATGCCGCTTGTGGAATCGTGGATGTGCACTGCTGAAGAGTCCCACAATAGAACAAAACGGTCGTCCAATGCTTCCAGGTTTTCAGTGATGGTCTAACCTCAATCAGTTCATGATTTTAAGCAAAACCTAACAATCTCCACAACCCCTATACTGATATAAATTATTGATTTTATAAACAAAGATATATGTTTCTTCACTGTATTGATTAAACTACTATAAGGACTTAACAAACATAATATTGATTACCACTTAGTGATTGATTATTAATTTAGGAATATTTGTGATAAATAATGATCGGTAATACTTCAAATAAATCGATAATGGATTCATTTACTGTAACATTGAATAGTATGAATTTCAATTACATTGATGAATCAATTAAAACTAGATCATTATGGAAAAGCTGAAAGTTTGACTGGATAGCCATTTTATCCTAGTATATGACTTCTCAACAGTGCGCATCTACGATTCCACCTTGCGAGATTGGAACCCAGGATCTATCTGGCCCGCGCGTGAACGCGTAATCTTTAAACCACTGAGCTGACTGGAATCCAACGGTGTTAATATCCAACTTCAATTAATCCACGAAGATACGCCACCGTCCACCACTGTCATCAATGAGTTACTATCTCATAACAGATCTGGTTGATCTCCACTGTAGGAAATACTAATTGAAGCCAGTCACTATGTTGTGGGTTCTAACCTCGCGGGGAGGGGCGGCATCGTGGATGCGCACTGTTGATGAGTCCCGTACTAGGACGAAATGTTCGTCCTGCGATTCCACGTTTTCTATAGTGATCTACCTTCAACTGACTCACGGATTCAACTAATAAATTACTATAATATCCATAAAACCCCTTTTTATATGAGTATTTACTGAACATTCTTATTTCACTCCAACCTTTTGATGTTATCCTTTAATTCGGTTACAACATAGAAAGGAAATAAGATTAGAATACTAGTTAAGGCTTAATTTATTTATTGATCAGCTTGTTTGTTTGTTTACATAATCAAATTGTTGTTTTGTATTCACTAAATTTTCATATTTCAATTTCACTGACTACGAGAAAGCATTTGATAGTATGAACAGGACAACACTATGGAGGCTTTTTCGACACTACGACATTCCTTAGAAGATAGTCAATATCATATGAAATTCCTATGATGGATTAACCTGCAAAATCGTGCATGGAGGACAATTGACAGACTCGTTCGAAGTAAAGACCGGTATCAGGCAAGGTTACGTACTCTTACCCTTTCTTTTTCTCCTGGTGATCGATTGGATTATGAAGACTTTAACATCTGGGAAAAAGGAGTATGGCATGTAGTGGACAACTTGGATGCAGCTGGACGACCTAGAATTCTCAGATGATCTGACTCTTCTATCACACATGCAACAACAAATGCAGGAGAAGACGATCAGTGTGGTAGCAGTCTCAGCAACAGTAGATCTCAACATACACAAAGGGAAAAGCGAAATTCTCCTATACAGCACAACGTGCACCAATAGAATCACACTTAATGGAGAAGCTTTGGAAGATGTAAAAATCAATACATCTGTGAGCAGTATCATTGAAGAACATGATGGGTCTGATGCAGATGTGAAGGCGCGGATTGGTAAAGCAAGAACAACATATCTACAACTAAAGAACATCTGAAACTCAAAACAACTGTCAACCAAAACCAAGGTCAGGATTTTCAATACAAACGTCAAGACAGTTCTACTGTATGGGGCGGAAACCTGGAGAATTACGAAAGCCATGATCCAGAAGATACAAGTGTTTATTAACAGTTGCCTACGCAAAATACTTCAGCTCCGTTGGTCAAACACTATCAGCAACAACCTACTGTGGAAGAGAACAAACTAGGTCCCAAAGGAGGAAGAAATCAAGAAGCGTTGGAAGTGGATAGGACATACATCGAGACATGCATCCAACTGCGTCACAAGGCAAACCCTCACTTAGCATCCACATGTCCAAAAGAAAAGAGGAAGACCAAAGAACACATTACGTCGAGAAATGGAGACAGATATGAGAAGAATGAACAATAACTGGATAGAACTGGAAGGAAATGCCCAGGACAGAGTGTGTTGGAGAATGCTGGTCGGTGGTCTATGCTCCATTGGGAGTAACAGGCGTAAGTAAGTAAATTTCCATGTTTAAATGTTACGTTTTTGTATACACGAATGTAATTGATTAAGTAATCCATTTATTTAACAATTGTCCATATTGCACTCTAAAATCGAAAATGTGTAAGGTGACGAATGTAAATTAAGTTGTTATATTGTATAAAGGATAATGTAAGACAAAAACTGTTCAGGTTTTGGTTTTATATGTGTTCTGATGTTTGATAGTAGTGAGTAATCAGTCGAAAATCATGGATCAGAGAATTCGCTATTTGATGATCATAAACAAGGCTAACTTGGATTCTATGGAGAACTGAATGAAGCGGCTATTGACTACTCTTCAATTTCTTACAGTAATGTCAGGTCGTAATCTAAAAAGTACAAATATCAATAAATCATTCAAATGACAGTTATATCTATGAACTGTGATGTGTCAGTTATGAATAATTTTAATCAGAGAAAGGTTTTGTGGACATTATAGTAATTTAGTAGTTGAATTCATGAGTCAGTTATAGGTAGACCACTATGAAAAACGTGGACCCAGAATGGGGCCCGCCAGCAATGCGCATCCACGATCCCGCTTCGCGAAGTTCGAACATAGGACCTATCAGTCTCGCGCGCGAACACTTAACCTCTAGACCAGTAAGCCGGCCAGCATCGAACGGTGTTAATATCTAACTTCAACCGATCTACGAAAATGAGTTACTATTTCACAACAGACCTGGTTGAACTCCATTGGTCACTACTTCTCACTAAAACTGCAGGAATTACCTATTGAAGTCAGACCGATAGGTCCTTGGTTCTAATCTCACGGGGGGGGGCGGTATCGTGGATGCGCACTTCTGAGAAGTTCCATACTAAGACGAAGTGACCATCCAATGCTTCCAGGTTTTCCATAATGTTCTAGCTTCAATTGATTCATGAATTCAACTACTAAAATGAATGATTTATCAAATACACTTGTTTACTATTCTTCTTATTAGATTGTATAGATAAAATTTAAGTATATAAACATAAATAGATGAAGCATTAAGCGAAATATAATTTGGTAAAGGTATAAATGTATCTATATACAAACGAATTAGTCACTAGTTTAGATAAAGTAACTGACTGGATTAAATTATGAAATGCGATTTACATATCCGTATATATATCTACATAACCTAGTTCTCAGCATAGTTTTATCTCTGTCTTCATTACCTAATTTATTGTAAACTACTTTTGTTCCCAATGATTTCTACTCTACTCTAACTGTTATTGTTCTTTGAGATGGTGGCGAAGATTTGTAGCTCAGATGGATGATTTTGGTGGAGTTTTGTTCTCTGAGCTGGATGGTTTGGTCGTGGAG